GCTCGCTCGTTCGCTCGCTCTCTCTCTCTCTCTCTCTCTCTCTTTCTCTCCTCTTCTGTGCTTGTCTGTTCAATGTTTCGGTCTCTCTTTTTTCCTCTCAGGTATCCTCTTCTCTCCACCCCAAATCAGGAGTGTCCAAAAATTCGAAAAGTAAACCGTGCGGGAAAAAGAAGCGCATCCGGAAGTAGAAACGGTTGCGCGCCAAATACAATATGACAGCTCTCGAATGATGCGCCTCGAACGATTCAGAGACGAAACCATCGATAGCCTACCATCGATTCAAGGATGGGTAATGATTATTCTTTTTCTTTTTTTTTCTTTGTCGCCGTGATCGATCAACATTCGTCGGTGTATCGCGACGCATATCGCGTCGAATTTTTCTCTCCTCTTCCACGCGCCCCGCGGTTTCCCTCTCGTTTCGATTGCTTCCTCCAGATTCAGCACTGACTCATCAAAGAATTCTCGGTCGTTTAAAGTTACGAGCAAACGGCGGACACTCTGCAACGATCCTTCACAATGGACACTCGAGTTTGGGCCGCTTTTCCCTCTCTTTCTCTACACGTGTGTGTGTGTGTGTGTGTGTGTGTGTGTGTGTGTGTGCGCGCGTGTGCGTGTGTGTGTGTATTGTGTATATGTTTGTTTTATTACATACGCGTACGCGTGTACGTGTGAGTATACATCATAACGTGAACTCCTCTCTCCTCTTATGGATGGATAAAGACAATTGTGTGTAGATGATGGGTACGTGTGGTGAAGATACATTCTTTTATATACTGAAGTGAGAATCGGTGTCGCGTTCGCTCGTTCCTTTCTGTGCCGTGTGCAGAGTCCGCAAAGACGACTCGCGTGAATATCCGTGGCGCGAGTTACACGATAAAATAAACCGACGACAAACTGACAGACAGCAAGTAGATGAAGGAGCTTAGGCGACGATACTTCGCTTAGGTCATATATCGCATCACGGCGCGAAGCGCGTACAGTAGCTCGGCTTGCATTCGTGCCTCCAGGATCATCAGGTTCACGTGGACCTGAAAATAAAAGGATTGATTATGTAGCGTGATGATTTATCTACTTTTTCCGGCATAAGAGAATCTTGTATATACTTTTTATCTTTCTCATTTTGATTAATTATCTTTAAGAGAATTTGTAAAATTATGCAATAAGTTGAACATTTCATCAATCTTCTTTTTATATATATAAAACTTGAAATATTTTTTCAGACTTTATTCTGTTAATGAAAAAAATCTATATTTAACAGGTAAACTATGGATGTTTATGCAAATTCGTATTTTTATGGATGCAGCTAAGAAACTTGATTCATCTGTTAAATAATACAATACGTACACTCCCGTCCATAAATCCTCAGACAATCAACAATACGTTTCTAAATATAGACAAATAAAGATTATGATTGTAATATTTTTCAACAATATTAACATAAGTTTACTTTCATTTTAAGCATCAAACAATAATGACACTTGATATTATTAAAATATTTAAATAGATTAATTGATACTTCAAAATAATTTTTTTGTCCATCACAAAAATATAATTTAATCTATTACGAATGCTTTAACGATATTAAAGAAGAAATCGAATCGATACGAAAGCAGATTAAATTAAACAAAAACAATTTTAATTCACGAATTAAAATCCCCAATGAGACCATGTCACCATACTCGATATATATATATATATTTTATATATTTCTATTAGATGCATTCCATAAATTTCCACGTAATTAAATTTTCCCCCGTGTGCATCAACATTCTATAATCCATAACCCGGCAAAGACGCGATAAAATCGAACGTTCCCCCGGTTTTGACCCGTGAAATAGCAACACGTGAAATATGTACATAACACTCGAAGCAGGGAAATCATATGTAAATAGCATTATGCATATCTCCTTACGTAAACCTGAGTCGGCTCAAAATCGACAAACATTTATACACACACGATGATAAACAGGCACGTGTTTAAGGCTACCAACCTTCTCGCTGTGCTTGAATTCCCTCATCACGCGATCGTAATCCCTTTTGGTCACGCGTTCAGGGTAACAAACGGCGCTCTTGATGAACGTCTTCAGGCTGCGCTCGAGGAGCTGGTTAACCTCGTTGTAATCGTAATCGTCGTGCCTGATACCGAACATGCACTGAATGTAATTCCAGATCGCCCGTCTGAAACGGGACGTGTCCACCTTGCTGTGCGTGCCCATCGTGTAATAGGTGAGATTGTACGCCGTTTTGAATTTGTCGTCGAGCAGATTACCGACGTCGTTGTAGAGACGATTCACCAATGAATAACCATGATCGTCCCATGAGTAGTCTTGCACGCGGAACGTGGGTATGTCGCTCAATTGGCCACGCTGAAACAAAAAAAATTAATTCGCGGTTAGAGGAGGATTGGAGCGTCGTTTAAAATTTTGAGGATACGTATGTGATATGTGCTTAATTTTAAATTGGGGATAGGAAAATGATAAATTTTGTTGTTTTTTTTACGGTTTGGAACTTCGAATAAACGTTCATTAAGATCTCGATGAAACGAATACTAGTTTACTAAGAACGAGGTGTATTCGAAATTGAAACTCAGAAATTTGTGCTATTTTTTGGACATGAACTTTGAAACTTTCGAAATTTGGATAAAGAATAATTTGTTAAAACTTCTTGGCAAAATAAATAAATAATTAGGGATGGGGATTTTCCCGAAACTTTCTTGGAAAAATATATTCTGATTTTTGAATTTGATTTGAACGAAGTTTCGTATTCACAAGTTTCATAAGTCTTGTCTCTATTTTAACAATATAATTTTAAGAAAGCACTTGCAACTTTTCGGCTATTAATTTTCAAACATCCAAATGTTTACGCAAGATTTAAATACTGTTAAATCACAGAGGAAATGAGGTTCTTCATTTTCGCGAGAATCCGAGCATTTAAAGTTTATCGATTTCGATTGTGTATATATATATACGTGTTATAAATATTCATAGGATCAGTCGATTGTAATCGAATCGAAAATTAAATATTCGTTGTCGAGGTTCGCGCGTCGCCTTGAAACGCACTTTCGAATTCAGCTTCGCGAATTATGATACGATAGATACCACGATGTTGATTCTGAGCTGTTATGAAACGAATATAGTGTATCGAAATAACCTCGGTCTTAACGCCGACATTTTTTTTTTCCATAGCCGTTTGCATGCTATCTTGTCTGCAATTTTTTTTATAAAATTTATTATATATCTAGTAATGGCGTAGTATATCCAATAACGCAAGTAATCCAAGGAACTGGTAAACATTTAATACTAAACACTATTGGATGTTTGAAATGTAGTAAAAATATATGCAAAAATATAAAAAAATGCAATGAAAAGAATGAAAAATGACCAATGGACTTTGTGGACTTAGATTTCCATTTGTCAATCTGTCTGTATAATCGCAAACAGGTTTTCCTCATTCTAATAAATTTCCTCCATGGATCATTAATTACATCGAATTATAATATATTGTTAATCATATATAATAAAGGTATGAACTTAATTAAAAATTAACATCGAAACTAAGTAGAAAATTCTTCTTCAAAGAACTTTATATTACGCAACATCCGTTAATATAATCATATTTAAATTTATATTTTAAAAAATTGAATTTAAATTCGGTTCCTACTTAATTAAACCTAAGAATTACATTTACAAAAGATACACTCTACTAGCAATGGACAACTATCCATTGCCTTCTTTCCATTCATAATTATATATTTTATTAAAAAAAAATTTTAATTTTTATCAAAATTAAATATTACACTTATTATACGCTACTGAACAATAGATACCTTCTCTACCTTCTTTTCATCACCTACTATAATTTTCGAGAATACCGTGTATTTGTCGATGGTAAAATAAAAGGTTTTTTCCATGACCAGTAATGGTCCATCTTCAATTATTCGTCGCATCGATTAAGAAAAGCACTTACCTTGGCGAAATCCTGATAGATGAACGTAGGATCCTCGATGAAATGACCGATGTCTGAGTCGAGGACCGAACTACTCCTCTGGGGCGCGGCTGCCAACTCGGCGGACTGGGTCTCCACGGTCTCGAATCTCTTGGACAGTTCTTCTTGCGTGATCTGGTACGATTCCGACTTCTCGGAAAGGCGTTTCATACGTTCCATGAGCGCCTCCACGCCGACCTCCTGTTCACCTACTATGCTCGGCGAGGATGGCGGCGACGGCATGTTTTCTGCAAAGATTCGAGTAAATATCCCCCCATCGTTAACGTTCTTAATCTTAATCTGTGATATGTTGAAAGTAGTGATTAAGTGTTAAAAATGTTTGGACCTCGAGAATGGAAGCGGAATTATCTTGCTTAAATTAAAAAAAGAGAGAAAGAGAGAGAGAGAGAGAGAGAGAGAGAGAGAGAAGAAATAGGAAGGAGAGAATAAAATTAACAAAT